AGGTGAGTGAGGACAAGGGGCATGGGCAGGGGCATGAGGACTTGGGGAAGGGGCATGAGGAGTCGGCAAAAGATAGCACCTCGGGACTGCTGGATGAATCCCGGCAGGGTGGGAGTGAGGGCACGGGGGAGGGGGCGGGACATGAGGACTCGGCGAAAGATAGCATCTCGGGAGCACCGGATGACTCCCCCCGTGAGATCCAGGATGAGGACGATGGCAAGGGTGCGGATGAAGAGGACTCGGACAACTCCAAGGAAGTCCGGCTGGTTGACAAACGAGTGATTCACGAGGGGGGAAGGGGGACTAGGGGCRGTGACCTGCATAATGAGGTAAGTACACGGCCGGACGAGGACGAGCTTGCCCGGAGTGGGGGAGAGGGTGGAGGAACGAATTATGGGGATGTAATAGGGGAGCTGGCTGCTGGTGGTAGGAAGCAGCAGGGGGGTAGGGTAAGTGCACGACAGGACGTGGGTGAGTCTGCCCGAAGTGGGGGAGAGGGTGGAGGACCGAATTCCGGGGGCACAATCAGGGAGCAGGATGATGGTGGTAGGAAGCAGCAGGGGGGTGATGCAAGTAGTATGCAGCAGCAAATAGAGACCGGTGCCCGGGAAAAGGAGCAGGAGGGAACGAAAGGGGGCGGGAAGGAAGCGAGGAGCCAACAAGCGGGAGGTAAGGAGGGGGATCGGGAATCTCGGCTTGCCACGGGGGGTGGGATGGAACAGGGTGTCGAATACGCCCTGTGCTGGGAGCAGAATGATAGGAGCAGGCCGCAGCGATTAGAGATTGGCGCCCGGTAAAAGGAGAAGGCGGATCCGGAAGGGGAAGGGAAGGGTGCGAGGAGCAAACAAGCGGGATCTAAGGAGGGGGAGGGGATGGAACAAGGCGCTGTACACGCCTTGTGCAACCGAGATGACTCCCGTCGTGGGAAGGAGGAGTGTTGGGTAGGGGCATCGGGGGTAAACCGGAGGGAAGTGAAGGAGCCCGATGACCGGATTAAAGGCAATAGGATTGTGSAGGTAGGTAAGGAGAACGATAGGCCTCAAGTGACCAGGGAGAAGGAGGGGCRGGGAGAAAGTCAACAGCGGGAGCCGCAAACAAGGGGGATGGGGGCGGATACGGAGGACCGGCTAGACAAGGAGGACTCGCGAAGGGAGCAGCAGGAGGAAAAGGAAGAGGAAATGCAAAAGGAAGTGGAGGACGAAAAATTGATAGTAGTATATGCGTTGGGGACGAGAAAGGATGAAGGAACGCTGACCTCCTCGGGGGCCACTACGGTGAAACTGGCGGACAGTCTACCAACCTCCT